CAAGCATATTATTCGCTTGTGACAATGTAATGGAGCACACACTTTCAAAACTGGCTCATTTGGCACCTGACAAAATGAGTATATGAAAAAAAATAAGTGTTTCAATTTGCTTTGGATTCTACTACAGTGCCTCATTTTGCAAGATCAATATCACTGCACGGTTTACATCACCAAATTCCAGCATTGTTTTGCAGGGAAAATAAGAAGTGCTGTCATTATTATAAATCTTCCTGTGACTTACTAAAAGAACACAGGTTGAGAAGAATTTGAGGATGATTTACTATTAATTGTTTGTCAGATTGTTGGAATGTCAGATTGTTTACTACTGTTTTTTGCTCTGTTACATGTATGCATTTACAGTGTTCAGAAGCTACTTCATGTTTATCCATCGTCAAACACTTTAAATATACTATGTTCACAGCCAATGGAACAACACATTACACCTGAATGCATATACTGTTAAATGTGTGGTGCATATGTAACATGTGTGCTATGCACCTGTAGCTAAGAAAACCTACAGTAAACATAATGAAATCCAGGATTATGATTCTGACCCAAGGCTATCTGGGTGTGAACACACAATATGAAATAAGTAACTACAGCCAGATGCAAGGCATATGACAGCCATACTAATTAATAGTCTTAAACACATGTAGCTGGGAAGCATGCAGGTATTTTCAGTAGAGTGGCACAATGCAGGGTCTGCAGTCAGCATTGTCAGTCAGAAATCCCCAGTCACACTGCTTCTATTTATTGCTCTAAGGAGACCTGATAAGCACACAGTGATATTGGAATGGTTTGAGCGCTGCTATACCACTCTCCCCCGCCACTATGTTTGTGTATGGGGGTGTGTGTTTTGATGGAAGCAAATGAGTGGAGTGTAAAAGAGAGACAAGAAAGAAAAAAATCCCTTTCAGCACCATCTGCAGTTGGTAACAAAACTATTTTAATCTTATAATACTTAACAGATGACTGGGATTTAATTTAGGACTCACAATAAGCATGCACCTCTAAGTTCAAGTTCTTCATATGTTTACTACAGAGCAGTTTCTGGAAAACAAGAAGGAAATGTCTTATTCCTTATCCCTGTTGCATTACTTGTTGCTCCATGTGTCACAGAGCAGGGTGTTGCCCAGGGTAACAGGCCTGTAAGCCAAACAGGATTGATTTTTAATGAGGATGACTCTCACTGGCTCCTTATCACAAGCGTGTCACCCAACTCTGACACTTTTAATACCACATGTCACTCAAAGTGCTGCACACAATGCCAGGAGGATTATGAACAGCCACTTACCTGCACTAGCACATATATGCACACACACACACATCACACGGTTACCTCCACATAGTCGCAAGTGTTATTGCTCTAGATTACACCTGCACACAAGCACACACATCCTGAGACAAGACAAGCTGTGTGTAGTTCATCACCAGTGGTTGCATGGCTACAGCAGAGCAGGCAACAGATAAGGAGCCCAGATCTTTTCAGAGTTTTAATGGAACCTCATGGCATCAAAGGGGCTCAGAGGCCAGACAGGCTGATATAGGAGGGGTGTTTAGTTTGAACCACTCCCCAGGACATTGTATTATTGACATCTTTCTTGGGAAATACAAAGAAAAACAAGGCACCCATCTTTGTGGTCAAAAGGTTGGAGGCTGGTCCAAGTAGTCTTGGCAAATGGCATGACAAATGGCAGAACAGGTGTTTGTTAATGTGTGCCTAAGTACCTATGGGCTGGAAATAGTGAGACTTTTTTTGTTTTGTTTTGTTTTTCCCCCCATTGAGTGCTGCAGAAGAGAAGTCATTGTCAACTGTGTATCATCTTGTGACACATAGATGAAAAGCATTATCAGATGTAGAGGCAGTCAAAGCCCTCGTCCTTGTTACTGACTCATTTCTGCTTCCCTGTCATTTATGTTCCACTGATTGCTTTAGTTCCATGCCAAGCACATTTTTGGATTGCAAAAACCAGTACAAAAAATAAAATACCACAACTACCATGATTCAACACAGACCAAACAAACAAGCAAACGAACACAAAATGTAAATGAAATGTCAGTCAGGCAAGCATGATGTTTTCGGAAAGCAATTGTAATACCCCAGTTCTTTAATTGGACAGCTCTGAATAATGAAGGAGTCCGTCTTTCTTCATTTAGGACTGATTTATTTTAACCACAAGTAAAAATTACAAACACAACCCGGGTTGCTCCCCCTTCCTGAAACACACACACTGACTGCTGAAAATGAAGTCCCTGTGTCAGGGCCACTTGGCGGCCGCTGCCTCTCCTTCGTTTTTCTCTCCTTTACCTTCTTTATCACGTGGGCTCTGCACTTCAGCTGTGTTGCATTCCAGTAATTAGCAACTGGTTTGTCGCTGCACACAGCTGGGGTGCATCCCGTTGATTACTTTTTTTTTTCTTATTTATACCTCGGGCAGACGCTTCGTTGTCGCTGGATCATTGTTATTTGTTATGGTTATTGTTACTTATTCACACCAAGTAGGTGATTAAATTTATGTTTAATCTGCACATTAGACGTGGATAGAAGGCTACACTGACAGTTGCTGTGCGTTATGGCTTGACCTACCACGTTGTTTGTGCGTTTCGCAGGACGCACCTAGAAATCAACGCTGACGGTCCCCGTGCTGTTGATTTTCAGATTGCGGTTTGCTACCTTTTGTTTTCACTTGTCCGTCCTCCTCCTCCTGCTCTCCTGATTCCTGCCGTTCATGTGTATGTGTACCTGTTCGTCCTGGTCTCCGTCGTCATCACTGCCCTTCCCTTATATGTATTATGGACACTGTTCTGTTGTTACTTGCCCTTCCCTTATATGTATTATGGACACTATTCTGTTGTTACTTTGTTGTGTAGTTTTACAATAAACCTCTTGTTTTGTACTAGCACCTGGGTCAGCAATCTTGAGTCCTACCCCTAGTTCTCCCTCACCCTCCTGGTGAGGGGGACTAACCATAACACCCTGGCCACACAGAGCCTAATACATTTATAAGTTTTGCGCTAACCCCTTACCCAGATGAAGTCAGTCTGCAGACTCCATCTCTTATCTTGTACTCCACATGCTTGGAGCAGCTGCATTTCTACCTAGTCATAACAAAATGAAGAATCTCAATGTGTGTCTATGTTGTCACATGGTGTGTAGCTAAGGCATTCATTCATCTATTCAGACATAATATTCTAACACAAGATTAATGCAGGAAAAGAATTAGTATCATGGTGCCCTTTTCAGAATCAACATTCTGTCTGCTAACCTTGAAACAAAACAGACTAGAGCAGATTTTAAATCTTACTAAATTGCATTACTAACACATTGATATTTAACAATTATCTAACGGATTTACTAATATCTAACAAACTCCCCTTTTTGACACAATTTTTATCATGTCAGCCTAAATCAAATGTCCCTGTTGTCCCCAGATGAGACATCCAAGGAGGAGAGAGGCCCCCCATACCACCCCCTCCAGGGAAAGCCCAGAGCTGAGTACCTAGGGCAAAATCTGAAATAATAACATAAAATAATGGCATGTAAGCTGAGTCTTTGTTGCTGTGATCCTATATGTAAGCTTCTATGTGAAAGCTGATATTCTTAGCAATTATAGCATTTTTCAGACAAAAACGTGGGAAATGTCTAAACAACATGTAGCAAAACAGTCATTGGTTAATCATAACATTTGCAGGAGGAATCCATTATGCTGGAGACTAAAGATCTTCTTCCAGTATCACACATTTATCACAAAATTCTACTCAATAATCAGAATCAATTACAAGCCTATGAGTCCACACCACCTATGTGTATGCAAGAGCATATATGGGTATGTGTTAACCCTTAGCAATAGTATGAAGTGAGGTCATGGTCTTCTTCCTGATCCGAGGGGTCCTCTTCAATCTCAGACTCACTGGGCTCAGTGAGTGAGATCATGGGCATAATTTCCAATGGATATTGGTATTGAACCATTTCATAGGCAGGAGTCAGTGGGTATCTATTATCAATGGTAGTGATGATACACTTTAGACAAAGATGCCTAATGCAGGGGATGCAGCTGCATCCGCAAAGAGTCAGCAAAGTAATTGCTGCCACCAAAGGTGTAAGCAAAGAAACCACTAAATTTTTCCACTTGCCAAAAATTTTTTTTTCAAACCAATCATTTATGTAATTTTTAATTCCTGAATGTTCAGCCATCTCCTCTGATAAGATTTTTAACCCGGTCAGGGCCCTAGCAATGGAGCCATCAGGAGCAGTGTTATTAGGAATGTAAGTACAACACTGTTGCCCAGTCATAGTACAAACACCCCCTTTTTCAGCCAGAATAAAGTCTAATGCCAATCTATTCTGATACGACATAAGAAAAGTGGCTGCCAGTTGCTCCTGAAACCCAACAACTAAATCTCTGGTAAGATTAGTAAGACGCTGAACATTAAAATGTACATAATACACACAGAGCTTAGAACGAAATAATAAATGCATATTAAACTGGACATAGGACAGTATACAAATGTTTTTATCAAACTGTCTTAATTGCTCTTGCTAAGGCCACCCGGAGCAATCAAGCATGTCACATGTGTCTACCATTAAAGTGGAAGTTTTACCCAAATTAAAAACCAACTCGGGTGGAATCAGGACATTAGCTCTTTCCTCATGGTGTATGTGGGACCTTGTTTCCCACCACAATATGGGTACTACTATAACTAGGCTAATGAGACCCTGTACACAGAGCACCATACCCGGACAACTGCCTAAACGTGCCAGACTAGGCATTTTGTCTGCTGTCCCTGTCAATGTTTTTGTTCTCTGATAGATATTACACTAGTGTAGGTCCTTTTCTAACTGTGGCTCTGGTTCTACAGGATTGTATATTGACTCAGGTAATGAGGTTCTTAAATCAGCCCTGACCTCATTCACTGTCCGTCCACCTGTGTCTTATGGATCCAGTTACTTAGCTTGTTCTCAGTAAGCCACAGTTTAACACAGTGTGTGGTAGTTTCTGCTACCCTGTAGGGTCCTTTCCAACGTGGTTCTGACCAGTGACGTTTATGCACTTCTTGATAGACCCAGTTGTCCACTGCAACTGGTATTGGTTCCTCAGGTTGGTCCCTGCGCAGAATTTCGACAACCTGTTCAGACACAGAGGTTGAAACAATACTATAGGTAGAGCTTCAACCCAGGTTAAGTTAGTGTCTGCGCAGACTTTCACAAGCCCTTCTTTTATAGATCTGTTTGCACACTTGAGAGGCTGCATGATAGACAGCCCCAAACTTATGTTTTATCACAAACATCTGCTCAACCATATGTAGGTCATCGTTTGAGAAGTGTGTTCCATTATCAGATCTGATAATCTCAGGTACCCCAAACCGGGGGATCACTTCCCTAGTGCGCCACTTAATTAGCTCTTTACCTGTCTCTGTTTTTGTGGGTACAGCCCATTTGGAAAACGGATCCACACAGACAAGTAAATATCGTTTTCTTTCAACTCTTTTATCAGCTCCCATGTCTGTGGATATCAATAACAATCTCTTTCTAGGGAGCATGTGGAACTGGAAATCCCCGTAGCCCCTGCCTTCAGCGCGGCTCTGGGGTTGAACTGATTACATATCTCACATGCTGCAACAAAGTACTTGGTGATATCCCTCAAATGCAGATGCCACCAATTTTGAGAGATCAGACTATTTATCTTGGAGCTCGCACAGTGTTGTCTACTGTGCGCCTCTTGATACAGCAAACTAAGTAGTCCCACCAGGGCCACTATTTTACCTTCATGGTTTCTCCACAGTCCTATCTGATCCTTAGATGCCCCTTTGCTTAGCCACACCTGCTTTTCAGTAGGAGCAGCTTTATTCTGTATTTCCCTAATAGTCTGCAAGCTCAACTCTGTCTCATGAACATGACCCCCTTTTGCAGGGTCTTGACTTATCTGTTTATCTCCCTGAGATGGACCTCCTGGGTCCTGAGTACCTGAACTAGGCTCCTTAAACTCTGACCCCTTAGGTCTGGATCCCTTTCTGTACTGAGCTTCCAAAACTCTAGGCTGAACTTGGCTGTGGGATCACATCAGCTTGCACTATTCAGCCATTGTGTCCTCGACCACAGCGTATGAAGTAACTAGACTGCCAGTGGCAGTCTGATGACTGTGACTGTCACAGTACAGTGTTACCTCTGCATTAAGCAGAGGTTCCTTATAGAAGTTCTCATGCAGTCTCATCTTTACGTCTGTTTTGCTCACGCAATCATGATCTTACTCAGTGACCATCTGCGTAGCCATGTTTGTTCCCTCACTTGTAAACTGTATTTGAGCCTGATTCAATAGCTGTTGTAGGTTCTGTGTGCTTCAACTTTGTTTCTTGTCAAAAAAGTACAGTTACTGAATCCCTGTCTAGCTTTCACAGCAGAAAGAGAGGCTTGCTTCAAAAATAGTCCTATAGCATCCTCTTGTGGGGGAGGACTGTCACTGTCCCCAAACATCCCTTTATACGGTTTTTCGCATTATCCTGCTCATCTTTAGGAACCGTATTTAACCATTTAAACAAAACCCTATAGAGTAATGACCCCAAAGCATCAGGTTTACACATTTTCCACTCTTGCACAACATTTACAGACATATTGATAATTATGCACAGGTAACTGACATCTCAGGGTGGAATGGTCTCTGCCCAGAAGTATTGATGCAGTCATGAAGCTTCTACATCAACTAACTTGATGCACGTGACCGCTGGGGGTTCTCCCAATCAACAGTTCTGTTTTAATTCTAATGAACACGCCGTCACCCTAAATTCTATAATACAGTTTTCCCATAGCCTATGCCAAACCCTGGAACCAAACACAGCTCTGCAAGAAGTACGCTGTTTCTCCAAGTAGCACTTGTTACTACTGGATACACGTGACAGCATTCAACAGCCTTCGTGCAGAAATCCACCCACAAGTAAAGAAAACAAAAAATATTTCCCTGTGCCCTTTTGTCATTTAACAGTTACAAGTGATCATTTTATAAATACGATGTTCAGAATTGTGTTCTGCTCAAAGAAGGCTCCGCCTGTGACTTCCGCCTCACAACAAGCTAGTTTTCCCATCGGAGCAAAAAATCCTAAAAATTTTGGAGACAACCGTCGACATTTGTGGTTATCCACTTATTAACGTGAATTTTACGTCTCTGATAGTCATCAATTTCTGTAACTAGGGCACTTATTTTTCTATCCCTCAAATGAGACTATGTGCTTGCAACTTTATGTGTGACAAAAACATCACCAGTACATTTCATAATAAAAGTGATATATTATCCTTACAGTAATCATTCAATTTTTAAATCAAGAATTTACAGTCCACACATATCAGCTAAATTTTGTCCAATATGCAGGAATTATGTGCAAAAGGTTCCTGCTCACCTGTAGTTATTGCTGTCAAATGTTGATCTGTGGGTCCGTCCGCTCCCTACTCAAATCCAGCGACCCAGTTCGGACCGTCCGCTCAGAATTCAGCCAATTCCAAAGATCACGGCACCAAATTGTAATACCCCAGTTCTTTAATTGGACAGCTTTGAATAATGAAGGAGTCCGTCTTTCTTCATTTAGTACTGATTTATTTTAACCACAAGTAAAAATTACAAACACAACCCAGGTTGCTCCCCCTTCCTGAAACACACACACTGACTGCTGAAAATGGAGTCCCTGGCCACACAGAGCCTAATACATTTATAAGTTTTGCGCTAACCCCTTACCCAGATGAAGTCAGTCTGCAGACTCCATCTCTTATCTTGTACTCCACATGCTTGGAGCAGCTGCATTTCTACCTAGTCATAACAAAATGAAGAATCTCAATGTGTGTCTATGTTGTCACATGGTGTGTAGCTAAGGCATTCATTCATCTATTCAGACATAATATTCTAACACAAGATTAATACAGGAAAAGAATTAGTATCATGGTGCACTTTCAACATTCTGTCTGCTAACCTTGAAACAAAACAGACTAGAGCAGACTTTAAATCTTACTAAATTGCATTACTAACACATTAATGTTTAACAATTATCTAACGGATTTACTAATATCTAACACATTTCAGGAAAATGGAAGGTGACATTATCCATAAAACAAAACCTTTTCAGACTTCAAATGGGATTGTTCCTAAGAAGCTGGAGGTTCCAGGCAAACCAAATCCCCTGTTAATCCAAACCAAGGGCAAAAACAGATTCACCTGACATTTCTCAGTGAGTAGAGGAGAGAAATGGATGGAAAATATATGTGAGGGCAACATAATAACTTTAATTAGTTACAATGAAGGTGGCTGTAGGGTTTGTATCAAGGGTATATTTGCAAAATATCATCTGGTATATAATAAACACAGCCTATCTTATGTAGTGGTGCTTACCTATCTTTCTTTTTATGCCTTTATTTGTGGCCTATTAAATACCGTCAAATAACAAAACCAAGTATGTATTTTAAGCCATACAGTATAATTTAATTTTACTTAAATTCTTCTGCATGTTTACAATTTTGGTCAGATAATCTGAGAGATGTTCTCGAGTCCATTAAGCACTTTAAAGGTCTGGCGGTATGGATGACGGGTGATTACAGATGTTGATTACTCTTTTATGTATACTAATCTGAGGGAAAGTTGAAACAATTCAGTTCTGCCCAATGTTTATTTTTTTCGATTCTGGTCATTTTTGGAGATGCTAAGTAGTTCTTACTGAGATAATGTAATGTACAAGTAGTTAAAGGCATCATCCTCTACTAGGGCTCTTTTGTGTTTTGTCTAATTGTACTTATAACACTTAAAACCATATCCCTAATTACACACTACTTAATTAAAATATCAACCACATGACAGTAAGTGCTTTAGGATGACATGAATCATAATAAATCAACCTAATATCTTCTAGACAACTAGTGATTAAATTATAAAAAAAAAATAAAATAAAATATTTAACTTTGTTTAAAATGTGATTTTAAAGCAGAGTACTGTCACACCCAAGTTAACAACTGATCAAATAACAAATGTAATGTGAAAGTGTTGGCTCATAGTGATGACCACACGGTTGAGTCATTACCACATCTGCAGTTTTAGTCTATTATTTAGACTTTGTCTTACTTTACTGGAATGTAACCTCGCTCTCATTAAAGTCATTTGCAGCCACAACAGGTATCTGTTTATTTAATGAAAAACTGAATAAAAACAAATGCAATAAAACTTACCAACACTAAACAACTGCAAGCCAAAGCTAGCAGCTAACCTGTGCACATAGTGAAAGGAGCCACATAGTCCCCTCTGGGGTTGGTGAAGACCAGACCAATATGCAAAAACAACTTTATAAGGTGATAATGGCAATATTTTATCTTCAGCTTGTTCCACTACCCCCAGGTATCCAACAAATCAACCGGTGCAGCTTTAAATATTACACTAACACCTTTTCACCAAAAATGGGGCATTCTTTATCTTTTTTTAAGACAGATGTGCCCTTGGCTATTTACTACAGGTCCACAAAATTCATGTGGCCCAGTATTTTAAAGAAATTGGGTATTTAGTGTCTGATATTTTCATCATGATTAATGAAGTCAGTAATCAACTGTATTTAATGGCACAAGTGTATCTTGTCATTAACCATGGTTCCAAGTTTTTAAGCATTAAATAGAGCTAAAATCTAGCAGACATAAAACAGCTCCTGCAGAAAGGGGTCAATTGCTTGAATGATAGCACTAGTGTTGTTTTTTTCTTTCCTTCAATCAATACTGGTAACAAGGGAACGGTTCTCGTCTTTGAGCTCAGGCTAGATTGCCGTCTCTGTATAAATGTTCTTTCATCTTAAATTCTCATTTCTTTTTTCACTAAACCTTTTTAAATCAAAAACTTAAGAAATTCAAATGTTCTCCTTCATTCCCTATTGCTCCCCACAGTCACAGTTCCTTTTCTACTACTATTGTATCCCCGCACACTGCCCACCACCTCCGCTCCCTCAGATTCAGCACTGTTTGTCAAACATGGTGGCTAATGAAGATGATTTTCCCTTTTTTAAACACACTCATGATTAGCATCCACATACACCTGCAGGCAGCCAGCTCAAGTGTTGTTCGCTGTCTTGTCTGATTAAATAAATCTGTTTACAATT